CCCCTTGTATTAGGCTAATTATTCATGGAAAGGAATGATAAAGATTATTAGAGCTGTGATAATTTTTTTTTTTTACTTTCGTTTACAATTAATTTTAGATTAATTAATAAATGTTTTGATTTTTTTTCCTGGTTTTTATTTATTATATTCATTCTTTGAATATTTTATTTTTTTAGGTTAATTTTTGTATTATATATTATTTTAAGGATTTTATTCTCTTTTCAGTTTATGGATTGTTTATTTTAATTTCAATTTGCTTTGTTTTTTTTTAGCGCATTTTTTAAGCGCGCAAATTATCAAAACTTGCAAAGAGCTGTGGTCAAGTTGTTAAAACAAAGAACTTTATGCGTGGACTTTATGCGTGGTCATATAAGGCGTGCGATCGCACGCCTCTTACAAGAAGGCCTACTACTCCCACATACTTAAACCATTAGATGTGGGAGTATATTGTTATGTCAAAAAAGTTTGGCAAAAATTACTACATAATGTGCATTATACAAGCACATTATGTAGTAATTTATCAAAAGCAAGTTTTGTTCAGCTTAAAGCCAAACTTTTTGAAAGTGGTGAAGCATTTTCACGATTACAAGTAATTTGAGGATTTCAAAAAACTGTTTTCCACTCGATATAAACAAAATTGATTAATTTAAACTACAAACTGTTGAAACATTTGAACCACCACAAACTACACAAGCTCTACTTACACAAACTCAATATAATAAAAATCTTAACACACCATCTCAATCAACACAACACTATTTGTAAACTTGTTAAAACACCAATTTGTCTGGTCACACCAGCAATACATGCATTAAATCAAGCAGTGGACTTGAAATATCTTTAAAAGAACACTTTTGAGTCCAAAACATTAATAAAATACAAAAGATTTTGACATAAAAAGAGTGGAATGTGAATATATATATATATATATATATATATATGTATATATATATATATATATATATATATATATATATATATATATATATATATATATATATATATATATATATATATATATATATATATATATATATATATGATTTCTGATGAGTCTTTATTGATGAAACACAGTGTAAAATAAAAAAACTTTTGTTAAGTGATTATCTACTAATTTATATATATATATATATATATATATATATATATATATATATATATATATATATATATATATATATATATATAGGTCTTGTTTTATTTAAGAAATGCTTAACGCAATAGCCTAATGTAAATTTGACAACATAAAATTTTCTTTATTTTTTATAAACATTCCCTTAAATTTTATTAACGATTTGGTCGTGAAAACAAAGATTATTTTTCTAAACATCATTTATAAAAATTATACCGCTGTATATATTGTTTATTAGAAAATAATCGCTGCGATTTAACTTGCGTTATTAAAAAAGCTACTCACACATACTTAAACCATTAGATGTGTGAAAAAAAGCAAAGATTATTTTTTTAAAGATCTTTTATTAAAATCATATTGCTGTATATATCGTTTATTAAAAAATAATCGCTGCGATTTAACTTGTGTTATTAAAAAAAAAAAGTTTTAACTTAGGTTTTGTGCAAATTTTTAATGCAGCTGTTTATTTAAAATTTAATATAGAGAGAAAAAAGTTGTTCTATTTCAATAAAAATAAGCTAATTTTTTTTTCAGAATAAATAAAATTTAAATATTGAACAACATTTAGTAATACTTTTAAATAAATTTGACAGTTAAGTTAAACCTAAGCATTAAATTTAATTTTTATAAACTTAAATATTTTTTTTGAATCAAAATTAAATTATATGTTTTTAAAATCTAATATATATATATTTTTTTTATCAGAATAAAATTATATTTTTTTATTAAACTACTTTCAAATTAAATCCATATATTTTTTATAAGAATTAAATTATATAATTTCTTTGCTTTTTTTTGTTTCAAGCTTAAAGTATTTGTATTATCTTTGCTTCAAGCTTGAAGTATTAGTGTTTTTTAAGCGAAAAAATAAATCATTACAATAAAATAAAAAAAAATAAAAATAAAATTTTAATTATATTTGAGTTTTTTTCATTAGTAAATAGCGCTTATTTTAACATAATTGTCATTTAAACTTTTCTAACAAATATTTTTACATAAAAGTAATTCAAAAGTTAATGTGACTATTTTAAAAATTATATACTTCTTTTATCTTACCGCTTATAGGATAATTTAAAATTTAAAAACTAATAAAAAGTCGCTTAACCAAAATTGCTTATTGCTTACATAAATTTGCTTAAGGCATTACATACGCCTTAAGAGAAGTAATGCCTTAAGCCAATTTACGTAATCACTTGACGTGTAACGCTTTAAAACGAGACCTGATATATATATATATATATATATATATATATATATATATATATATATATATATATATATATATATATATATATATATATATATATATATATATATATATATATATATATATATATATATATATATATATATATATATATGTATATATATATATATATATATATATATATATATATATATATATATATATATATATATATATATATATATATATATATATAGGCTTGGACAGGAGTGGTGTGTGATCACACTCTGTAACTGACAACTCTAATATTTTTTTACAATTTGACCAAAAATCGTTACATTACGAACAAATATTAATTGTTGATCTTTTTTAACAATTTTTTTTTTAATTTTTTTATTTGCATTCACTCCCAACAAGGCTGCAAGCAACCACTATTAAGTTGGGAGTTACTAGGAAAAAAAAAAGAACCGAGTTATAGAGCAAGGAAACGGTTGACAGAAGACTTGAAAAGTTGAAGGTTGTATGAGTCAGGAAAACATGAAGATGGGAGAGAGTTCCAAAGGATTGAAGTGCGGGGAAAAAAACTAGATGAATAAAAGTTTTTAGAGCATGCAGGGACAGATACAGTAAACGAATGAGACTTAGCTGAATGACAAGTAAAACGAGAATGAATTTTAGTTGATGGAACTAGAGATGATAACTCCTTTGAGCAGTGACCATGATAGTATTTGTAGAAAAGAGAAAGAGATGCAACTTTACGATGATGGGAAAGAGGTTCAAGCTTAGCAGATAGTCCAGGTCCAACAACATTTACAATGCGTTTTTGGACCTTGTCAAGAAGAGAAAGTGAATTGTTAGAAGAACCAGCCCAAATATGACAACAGTATTCCATACAGGGACGAATAAGAGATTTGTAGAGGTAGAGAATGGAATCAGAAGTAAGGAAATGACGAGCACAATGAAGAGAAGCAACCTTAGCAGAAGCTAATTTAGCAATTGATTGTATATATGGTTTCCATGAAAGGTCAGTAGTAAGCGATAATCCAAGAAGATGTAAAGAGGAGGACTCAGTAAGAGGATTGCCATTCATTAATATAGGAATGTTGACCATATTTTGGTAGTTGTTTGCAGTAAGCAACTGGGTTATTTTAGAGTTGAAATTCACAAGCCACTGTGAACCCCAATCTATTACTGAAGTGAGATCGGATTCAAGATCAGCTGCTTGTTCTAGGCGATCGAAAAGAGAAGACTTTTTGTCAAGACAGGAGTATAAAGTTGAGTCATCAGCAAAAAGAGCTACTTTAGATGAAAGGTTGTCAGGAAGATTGTTTATGTAGATAAGAAACAAAACAGGGCCCAGGATGGAACCTTGGGGAACCCCAGAGGTTACTGGAAATAAAGAAGAGTGTTAGCCTTCAAGGATGACTTTAATAAACCGGTTAGAAAGAAATGATTTGATAATCTCAAAAACTTTCCCAGAAACACCATATGAAGCAAGCTTATGGAGAAGACCAGCATGCCAAACTTTGTCGAAAGCCTAAGATATGTCGAGAGCAATAGCCCTAGCCTCACCGCCTCCATCTAATGCACGATAAAATCTTTCAGTTACAGCAGTTAGCAAGTCGGCCGTAGAGCAAGAGGATCGAAAACCGTATTGATTGTCTGACAGTAGTTTATTTGACTCAAGATGAGATGTGAGGAAACTTTTATTTAAGCGAAAGCTTTAAATAAAAAATTAATTATAACTATTGTTTAATATAAACACATTTTGTGTAAATTAAAAATGTAAATTTTTTTTTAGTAGGCATGTATTTTTTATGACAAATTTAAACATTTGAAACTATTTTCCATGTCTTTCTAAATACCATTAATAAGATTTTTTTATTAAATATATTAAATTATGAATAAGTTTAATTAAAATCTTCCTGTTGCAATAGAATGATTTAACAGCTTTATTTTTTTTGTTTCAATTTTTACAAAGAATTGTTTAAAATAATTTTTTGTATACTTGACTTACTAATGAAATGATTAAAAATTACTATTTTAAAAAGATTACTTTTTTATTATAATTTTTTTTTTTTGGTGACTTTTTCAAAAAAAATGTTTATGCAATTTAAAAATATTATATTTTTTTCATTTCAATAATTTAGTTTGACTTTTTAAATAAACAACAATTTAAATAAAATTTTTTCATATAATAAACATTCATTAGAAGTGATTTGTAAAAGCATTTTAAGTAACTTCAATGAAACGTTTCAAAAGAAAAGATTTAAAGTAATTTATTTCAACCGCAATTAAAAAAGTAACAAAAAAGTAAATTTCGCCTTGAGTTTGAGTTTTTTGAATTTTATTTTAAAGCTTATATGTTTGTTTTTTAGTGAGGAATTGTTTGTTTTTTTTTCAGTTTTTTTTAATTTTTTTCATTGTTTTCAGACTTAAAAAAAAGATTTAAAAATGCTAAGCTCAACTGTTTAGCTTAGCGTTTCTTTTTTCAGCGCATTTCTGAAATGTTTAAGCCATCTAAACAGTCGCGGTCAAGTTGTCAACAAAAAAAATCATTTGCGTGGTCAGCAATAGTATTCTTTTGTATTCGTGGTCAGCAATATTATTCTTTTGTATTTTGTGTGTGTGTTCACACACACACACAAAATACAAAAGAATAATATACACTAATGTAAATACCTTTTCTTTTTCATTATTTTCGCCTTCCTTTACTAGACTGATTTTTGAAGAATCATTTGGTGCAGGTTCACCATCTTTCATTATATATAGTTTTTTCTCATACTTATTTCGAATAAAAGTCTCTACAGCACTATGAATAAGTTAAGTTTTCTTAAACAAAATGCAAATAGGCATTTACTTGTATAAATAACTCTATAACAATAAACTCAACAATTATAAACTCTTAAAATTACATTATTTATACTTTGCATATAATTTATCTAGTACAAGAGATATTTATAGCATATTTACACTTTATACTTATGTGTATTAGTTTATCATTTCATTACATGCATATTTTATAAAACACATTGTATTGTTTAATGTTATCATTGTATTTACCAATAAACTGAAATAATTGCAAAAATAGTTGAAAACAAAACTAAAATAAAAAAAGCTGCATCATTAAAAAAGGATACTGATTTTCATTTGGTCGGCAAAATTCTGTGGGTAAATAGCATTCATAATACTCTCCGGCTCTTTTGTTTCCCCATTTTAACATGTTCTATACAACAATAAATTGTTTTAAAAATTACTCTTATTTGTTTAAAAATATTTAAGGAAGAAAATCATAGTATTTAGTAATAAAAAAACATATCTTTGTATTGATAACTTTTTTGATAACAAAATAATAAAATCATAAAAATAGACTTAACTAGCAGAAAAAAATTTAGGTTGATAAACCTCAACTTGGTCTGAGTTCCATGAGTCCAAGTCGACTGATTTGACTTTTGACAAATGAACACCAAGATTTCTATGAATACCTGCACAACGAATGCAAACAAAAACACCTAAACTCCAAGAAGCCCATCTTGGTCCTATAAAATGCAAGTAAAGAATTTTATACATAATAATTAATAATTGATTTACTTGTTAACTTGTTAACAATACTTTTAACAATACTTGTTAACAATACTTTTGTTAACTTGTTAACAATACTTGTTAACAATACTTGTTAACAATACTTGTTAACAATAATTAATAATTGATTTACTTGTTGAAGTGATTATCACTTTCAGTTAACAAGTAAAACAATTATTATAAATTATGAGAATTGTTTTACCAAACTAAAATATAAACAATTTTTATCATAGATATATAGGGGCAGATACAGCTTTTTTTGTTGTTTGAGACTTCCAGACATGGAGTAAACTTAAAATATTTATATGTATATGCTTATGTTGAATGAGGATATGGGGGTTGGCACCTAGGGACAAACTGTCCTGGATTTTGAGTTGAAATGTTTTTTTTATTTTTCTAAAATAGATATTTTTTCATTGAGAAATAATAAGTTTCAAATAATAATCTCTCCTGTATGTATGTATGTATGTATGTATGTATGTATGTATGTATGTATGTATGTATATATGTGTGTGTGTATATATATATTAGGGCCCTGCGAATCACCTTTTTTGGTTTCGAATCACAAATCAAAGCAGGCCTTGATTTGCAAATCAAATCGAATCTTGAATAGAATTACTTGAATAGAAATACTTTTGTTGATAAAATAATAATCAAACTTATAAAAGTAATCTAAAATAATAAAAATATATTTTGAAAGTCACATTTTCTATTAATAATTAGAGAACATTAAAAAATTGTACAATCGTTTAAATGTATTTAAAAAACACTTTATTCAAAATTTTATTGTTTAAACAAAAATGTTATTTTATTTTTTTACAAATTTTATTTAAGTATAGATTAATAGAACTAAGTTAGTCAAAAAAAGGCCTTGTTAAGAAGCATTCTTTTGTACAATACTTTTTTCAATTTTATTGATAAAAGTATTATACAGAATGGCAATTTGAAACTGTGCTCAGCAGTTTTACATTAAGAAAAAACTTTTTTTATTATGGATTATTTAAATTATCTTTTAATATCATTTATGTGACCTTTATTCAGAAAATATCAGGTCATAAAAAAAAGCTTTTACTGCAACTGAATTTTTTAAAAAAACAAATTTTTTTATAAAAAAATTTTTAGATTAAAATTTAAATTAAATGATTTTAATTTAAAAAAAGTTTTTATTTAGTTTTGAAGGAATGTAAAATAGTAAAACGTTAAATGTAAAATTTAATTTCAAAAAAATGTAAAACAGTTTTGCAATTTTTTTATTAAAGAAATTTTATTCTTTTGCTAACTTATTCATTATGTAAAACATAAGTTTCTAAATTATAATATGCAAAAGTAAATTAATAACTTTTTTTTTATAAAAAAAGAGTAATACATTTTTGAACATAATACATTTTTGATGTAATATATTTTTGAACATAAATTATGTTTACAAATATCTTAATGGTAACTAATGATATCTATCTGTAAATTTGTATAATCTTTATTAAAAATATTACATCAAATACTTAAAAAATTAAAACAAATAAATTGTGAAACAAACAAAAGATTATGAAGAGTTTAAGACTGTTTTAAGAAATAAATTATAAGGAAATAAAATCTTTTTTAAATATCAAATTTAGATTTTATCAACAACTTTTGACATATTAGTTTAAATGATTTTTAACGCGATTTAAAATTAAATTTAATTTGATTTTGGTTAAGTGATTTTTTATTTTTTTCTAATATTTAAATAAGTCTAAAGAATTCTTGATACAAGAAGTAATTATTATTTTAACAACCACACAAGTTTGAATGGCTATTACATAAAAAATTTTGTTACTAAAGTTGGAAAGACAGTTAAAAATAATTGTTGTAACTTTTTGACACGATTAAAAAAACTTATATATTTAAGTTTGTTTTTTTTAAATTACTTGCAAACAAACAAAAAAAGTTTTGTAATTATATGTAAAATGAAAATACTTTTGAGTTTGTTTATAAGAAATACATTAAAAAAAAACAACTATGAAACTGTTGGAAACAGATGGTCTGATGTTGTATGTTCTATGCTGCATGATTTTAAATTATCAATTGTCTCAAGTGTAAAGGATAACAAATTGATTTGCAATTTATGTGCTAGCAAAATACAAAATGAAAAGTTTTAATTTGATTTTATTATCTAGTTTATAAAACTGAAAAACTTGACAGCATTACTGTTTCATAACCAATTAGAACTTTGTTACATTATGTATAGACATTACACCTCTAAAAAATGTGACAGAAACATTGGTTATTGCAAATCAAAAGTTTCTTGCAGAAGCACTAGACGATCTCACAAAAAACCATAGCAACTCAATATTGTATATAAACATGATACAAGAAAAATTTCTGAAATTTGCAAAGTTTCAAAGCCAAACCTCTTGGTTGTTTGTTCATTTAAGACATGTTTAACTAGAGAAATTAAAATATTAAAGGCTAGTTAAAATTTAATAATATAGAAAAATGAAAATATTTAATTTTATCTGTGTTACATCTCGTATGTTGAGATCAATGATCGAAGTGCCTGATAAACTGAAACAGGCATACATAGCTCTGTTACTTTTTTTTTGTTAAAAATTTAAAGACTTACTAAAACTAAACATTTTCTGAATGGATAAAATAAGACATTATTTGAACTTATTTTATCTTTTTTTTTAAATTAATTTTATTTTTCTTTGAAATTAAAAAAAAAACATTTTTATTAACAATTGGTTTTTGTATGGTTATTACAAACTTGATATAAAGTGATGGAACACAGACATCATGGAAACATCTGTGCTAAATAGATGAGGTTGGGGAAGAGATAAAGTTGCAATGCTATTTTGTATAAAGTTAAAAAAAAAACATTCATATAATGTTTTGTTTGAATTTTTTTATTAAAAAGGTGGGGGGGGGGGGGGGGTTGCTTTATTATCCCATCACACACTTGGTACATTGTAGTTGTATATTACAATGTGTTACCGTCTACCTTTACAAAAATAAGTGCTCTAAAAGGTTACAAGCTATTATATATATATATATATATATATATATATATATATATATATATATATATGATGTATATATATATATATATATATATATATATATATATATATATATATATATATATATATATATATATATATATATATATATATATATATATATATATATATATGACATATATATATATATAATAAAATAATTTAAATGAAAAAAATACAATTTATGATGGAACAAAAAGTTTCATGCCATTCAGCAATCATCAGCCATATTATTCATCTTTTTGTTATAATTTGATCTATTTTTTAAAAAAAGATATTGATCACTCTTAAACAGACAAGAGTTGTATTTCCAGCAGTATACAACATTTATCAATAAATATATATATATATATATATATATATATATATATATATATATATATATATATATATATATATATATATATATATATATATATATATATATATATATATATATATATATATATATATATATATATATATATATATGTATATATATATATATATATATATATCAGTCTTCATTGTTTGGCCAGGCCTTTTACACTTAAGCCTTTTTTTGTACTTTGCCCACACATCTGCAAAAAATTTTTTTGTGCGCATATAAAAATATTTTTAATTGCAACATCTTTTTGTTCATTAAATACTTTTATGAAAAACCATGAAAACGCTTTTATGCATGAATTATTTTATTTAGAATTTAAAATGTTTATTTTGCAGTTTTATAGTTTAATTATTTAATTTAAATAAATTGTTTTGCTGATTTTAATGAAATTAATTTATTTTGAATTTAAAATATACATATATTTTTGCCTTTTTTATTTTTACTATTTTAATCTAGAACTTAGATAAAATATTGATTTGCTGTTTTTATTTTAATTATTTTGTTTTATATTATAAAGAACTTTTTTTATTTTTTTGTTGTTTTATTAATTAATAATAGAAAAAAATATAACAAACTTTAACACAGAGACTTGCAAAATGTTTTAATTATCTAATGTAATAATGAGGCATTATTACATTAGATAATTAAAAAGTCATCAAAAGTATGTTACTGAAAAAGACAACTCTTTCATGTGGGTGACTTGAATGCATAGAAATATAATCTTTGGCTAGCATTTGCCATGAGGCTATTATGACGTAAATATATATATATATATATATATATATATATATATATATATATATATATATATATATATATATATATATATATATATATATATATATATATATATATATATATCAAGCCTTCCCAGGAAAGACGTGCAGTTTTTCGCCTCGTATGACCACACGCGATTATAATATTTTAGAAAACGTGAACACGGCCGTTTGCAAGTTTTATAACAATGATGAAAAAAACAAAACTAACAAAATAAAAAGAGATTGAAATAGAAAAGAATAAAAACAAATTAATAATTTAAATAATTTGTGTACTGTTTTTATTTTTGTTTCTTTAGAGTTACATTCAGCAACAAAATTAGATAAGGCGAAGCAAAAAAAAAAAACAGTTTGAAGTCTACAATAAAAAGAATGATTTTCCTTTTCTTAATTTTTTTTTAAAGAGGATAGCAAAAATACAAATTGCAATATGTTTGTAAAATTTATTTGTATAATTTTAACATAACAACAAGGGTTGAATTAAGCAAATGCAAAACGCAAAATCTGGAAAAATATCTAGTATTCAAAATTTTAGTTTATACAAAACAGTGTTCCTTGTTTTTAAGGGGAGAATCAACTTAAATTTGTTAGTGAAAAAATAAAAAGTAAAACAATAAACTTACGATTACAAAAGTAATAACACTCTAGTCACTAACTGCATTACAAAAGTAATAACACTATAGTGTTATTACTTTTGTTATAGTAATATAAAAGTTATAGTAATATAGAAGTAATAACACTATAGTGTTATTACTTTTATAACGCACTTATAACTTATA